AAAAAACAAAAAACAAAAGAGAAGCCAGGAACCAGTGGAAGAAATGACAGTATTCACTGATGGTTTGGGAAAAAACTCACAAATCAGTGGTCACATGGAAAAATCAAAAAACAGGGAGATGAGAATCAGGTATCACAATGATACAAGGTTCACCACAAGTTGAAAAATTGGTAACAATAGTCAGGGGTTTTTCAGTTATTTTAGGAACCCTCAATCTGATCACAAGTTTAGTGTATGTTGCAAATGTGGTCAAACAATTAGAGAAATCGCTTTTAAAACATACAGACAAGGAAATTTTATATTCATATCTATTATGCATGAAAATAATCCTAGAAAAACAGAGAACATTAATAAACACATCAGAGTGCATTCTTCACCTCCGAGGTTTTTAGTAAAAGAGAATGCTCATGTAGATAGGCTCACAATGCCCATCTTGCAGACACTGCCAAACATTTTTGAGCAGGCAAAATTGAGCCATGCATGTTTTCACAAAAATGCACAGGCATTGATGGGAACCTTTCACCCTTCTGAAAGTCAGACAAAGGAAATCTGCTTGCCAGAGAGCCAGTTTGTGCAATCTCCTGTATTTACAGGAATGGACAATCTGAAAGGTTTGTAAAAGCCTTCAGCTGTGGCAAGCTGATGTCACAAAATACCCATCTTTTGAGAGGCTCGAAAATATCCATATTTCAATTGATACATTTTTAGGGGCGATTTTTGCATCATTATATACAGGAGAGACCACAGAACATACCTGCAAACATTTTTTATAAGCATTTACATCATTAGGAGTGCAACAAGAAATAGAAACAGATAATGGTCCAATTTATACAAGCAAGGTGCTTGACAAATTTTTGAAAAAACAGAGAGTCAAACATATTTTCAATATTCTTCATTCTCCCTCAGGTCAAGCAAGCAAAGAACACATCACACCCTGAAATCCACTTGGATGGACAGAAAAGGGATGAGGCAGGGTTGAACAAATGTGTTGAATTTTTTAAATGTTTTTTTTCTCAAAGCCCACTCTAATAATTGTCAGATATGTTACAAACAGCCCACAGGAAAAACTAAGGAAAAATCCTTTCGTTTTAATCAGAAGTCCAGAGTCAGGACAGATTGAAGGTTCATTTACATTAATAACTTGGGGCGAGGGTTTCGCTTGTGTTTCTACAGGACGAGGACTGAAGTGAATGCCAGCAAAGCACATGTAACCTTATCGGGTGCAGACGCCAGTGGACGTGGACCCGAGAAGCAGAGAAGCAAGCACGCAGACGAAGGCAGACAACAACGCTGCAGACGTCTCGTCGGACAACGATTGATCACCCAGAGACTTGGGGTTTTTTCTGAGAAATCAAGTGTTGTTTGAGTGTTGCTGCATTGCGGGGTTTCTCACAGAGGGTGGGGACATGGACATGGGATTCAGACAGATAGTGTTCATGTGCTTCATCCTTTCACCTGTTGCTTTGGGCAACAGGACAGATTTTCCCATGAGACAACCCAGGGAAAAAGTGTGGGAGACTTTGGCAAAAGCAACTGGTCTGGACAGCATTTGCCTGACCCATTCGAAACCAGAGAAACCATTTTCAACATGCTTGGTAGGTGTGCCAGTGGAGGGATGGTCAGTCCCAGGGGACATCCTTCCAGGGGTTCTGAAGTTTCTTTCAGACCCTGTGGAGGGATGACATGTTTGGACACAATTCCTTCCTGTGGCTCACTTTGAACCTCTGGATTTGGACATTTTGGGTCAACAAAAATGAAATGGTGCATCAAATTTAATTCATCAGGAGTGGCAAAGACAGATAATCATACAATAGATGTCACTCCGAATCAGCCTTTTTATAAAAATGCGTCATCTTGGTGCAATCATACCAAAATGACAAGCAAACCATCCTTTCAACATCCAGCCACTTTACTGAAGGGAATGTTTTTCATTTGCGGGGACAGGATTTGGCCTGCTATCCCTGCAAAAATCAAGGGTGGTCCATGCAGCATTGAAAGATCTTTTGTTAACACACAGCATGACCTTGATAAGAGAGCAAGGAGAAAAAAAAAATCTGATGAATGAAGCGATCCAAATTGTGACAATGATAATGTTAATACCAAGAAAAAAGGCTCGGAAAAACTGAGTGGTTCTGCTTTCACAGCAGGTGGCATCAAAAAGAGCCTTGGTGCAGTTGGATCAAAAGAGGTTGTGGGCAGAGTAAAGATGCCCATGTCATTTCTTTTGCATCGAATGATTTGTTAGCTAGCAGTGAAAAATGAGAACAAAACAGTAATTGAACATCTATTGTAAACACATGGACACAAGAGTGATAAATTTAAAGAGATATCAGAGGACCAAACACACCTGGAGAAAAATTAAATCATAGGTAGATGGTGTGTTCAATTTGTTTCACCTTTCACAGTTGTAGAAAAGAGATTTTGAAAATAGTTGTATGTAATTACAAAATATTGTAATTCTTCTAATGTTTGTGCTGTCCTTGCCTCAGTGCATGAGGCAGACCATGGACAAAGTTGTCAAAGAGGTGTTCTTGGTTCAAAAAGGAAAGGATCCCTTGAAAAATATAGTTCAAATTATGATGATGATGTTTCTACCTGGGACAAGTCTCGGAGAATTGCAGTAGCAATTTTCTCATTCCAAGCAGCATCAGGGGTGGCCTTGACACAATTGGATCGTATAGCATATTGGTTGAGGAAACACAGTCGTGCCATTTCGTTTGCACTGAGTGACATGTTAACAGACATCAACAGTGCAAGGCAAGCAGCGCTTCAAAACAGGGCGGCAATTGATCATTTGCTGCTGACACATGGGCACGGATGTGAGGAATTTGAGGGGATGTGCTGCATGAACTTGTCCAATCATTCAAAATCTATTCATAAAAATATAAAACAAATACAAAGTAATATTAGCAAATTGAACAAAGTTACAGGGTCCTGATGGGATGATTTGTTTGGCTTTTTTGATATCTCACCATTGTGGAAAGAACTTTTGAAAATAGCATTTTATATTCTTATAGGACTTGTAGTTCTTCTGCTTGTTCTACCATGCATTTTCGTGTGTATTTGAAAGACCTTGAACAGCATGATAAAGCGGGTGTTTCAGGTTCAAACAGAGAGGGGAGATGTCGGAACTCAAAATGTCCCTCAGACATTTTTAGAGGTTCCAGGCCTCGGTCAGAAGCATTTTAGACCCTGGCAAGCAGCTGAAAACAGCTGTGATTTTGAGTTTGAACCATGGAATGAATTACCAACTTTAAAGGCGGAACAAGCAGTCACAGAGGGTTAGATGATATAGTAAAAGTAGTCACAAATTAGAGGGTAAAATTTTTTAGTATTGTACAGGGGGGTTTTAACACCTGTACAGGGGGGTTTTACTTTGTACAGGGGGGTCAGGAGTTCTAAGATGGAGGAAAGTGGGCCTGATCCTGTTCTTCCTCCTTCTTCTTCCTTACCTCCATGTTCTTGGTGATGTTGGCATTTTTCTATTGGTTTAGGCTAGGGACATACTATTCAACGTAGATGATAGATATTGGCACATTATTGTAAATATAGTACACGTAATTTCTGGTATATAATGTTTGTACCATCCCACTGGGGGCAGAGCCCCACACACTGCCCTGCAGGACAGACCTGCGGCAGGGCAGCAGAACTTGTTATAGATAAGCAAAAATAAACAACCTTGAAACCAGCACAGACGAACTATGGCTTCTTCTTTGGCAACGGGGCAGAAAGACAGAGACTTTCTACAATCTCGGAATCACCAATACCCACAGATTCCGACAGTTTTGGGGTTTAACTTCTGATACTAACTTCCACTCTGGAAAATCTTCCACTTTAAGGTACAGTGATACAGCCAATGTCCCTACAGGCACCATCTGTGACACATGAGGATAAAAAAATGAAGTTGTAAACTTGTACCCACCTATTAGACAGACCTTGCAATCACCCAGTTCAAAACACAGTTACAGCAGTTCAGGGGCTTAAAAACAGCCTTACGTTTCTTCTGATTTTGCGCATATGAATTTCTGAACTGCAGCCAGCTGGCCAGGATTTAAAATGTTCCTATATCTGTAGCTAGCAGTTACCCATGGATAAAATCTCAGCCATTGGTAAGAATTTCTATCCATGTGAAGAGCCCAGGTTTCACTGTTCATACTAAGGCCTGGAGTTCCAGCCTCTTCCTGGGGGAGCAACCTTTGAAACTATGTAAGTTAAGAATATTATTTTGAAGCAAGCATTAAGTCTTGAATGCAAAACTAAGTATTTTATGATTGTTTATGTCTAATACGTGCCAGATGAAAATGGAACCATGGCTAATTATATCCAATTTAAAGAGACTAAAGATTTTCATCCAAGTACTACCTGTGATTTTAACATATGAAGTTCAGGTTTATTCCTGAAATGCTGCAAAAACCATAAATGCAGGACTTTTATTATGGGGAATTGCAATCTACTATTAAAAACTAGCACTCAAGTCGTCATGGTCAGTTTTCAATGCTCAAAAGTTAGACTGTTTAAACCAGTTACATTAAATAGCTAAGTTTCCCATGAAGGTTGCCTGGGAAAAATTAGAAACCTGCGTATGTGGTTTTGACTTCATACTGAATACTATATAGTATAGCATAAGTTAATGTGATAACCAGCTGTATCAAAGTATGAACATATATGTTAAAAACCTGTAAATTTCAGATTCTAGAATAGCATGAAACAGCCCTAGGCTCTACTCTTAACTACAGGGATATGTTTCTAAGAAAAAGGATTCTCAGCCTGCAATAGCAGTGGGGAGCTGCTGTGCTGCTAGCACACTAAGATAACATGTACAAAGAGGAGCTTCCTCACAGTTTCTCCACAAAGCAACATTTTGGTTTAGCCCAAAATATGGGATACCACGTCTTCTCAGCGTTAAGTCTCCTGCCACTGTTATGGACTCAATAATTCTACTCACTGTCCTCAGAATTTTCACCTTTTCACCCTCAATTCATTATAGAGCAGCTACAACATTTCCAACAGGCCAGATTTGCATACTTTTAATAAAACTTTTTGTTGAAAGTAGTACATTGTAACACATCATAGTATTCTTTATTATTTTTTGTCAAATAAGGGGAAAGAAACATAGCAGTTTTAACACATTAACATCTGTTAGGAGATGCTGATAGTTCTGAGTCACAACTGCAGAGGGTGACCAATAAGTCATACTGGTATCACTGAACTAGTACATGTATGTTAACTTACAGTGCATCAGATATATGTATAACTAGATAAAAAAAAAAAACAAGGTCCATCTAGCTTAAATGTTATAGGCAGCCTATTTTGCACTCAAGGTAAAATGTTACAAACACTATCCCCAAAAGGCATGTTATTTCCTGTACCTGTGTCATCCTATTGGACAGCAGGCAATCAGAATTCACTCCAGCTTCAAAATAATACATGTTAACTGCCCATAAATATTTTATCCCCATGCAAATTGCATTCTGTGGCTTTTTCAGCGCCTTAGTTAATTTCACTTTATTATAATTGGAAGCATATGACTATGATTTAGGCATGCTTATTGCTCTAAAAGAAATAAGCCCATCTTCAAAATTACTGTGCAAGTATCTTAATAAGATTTGCACACATCTCAAAAAACTCAATTGTATGACTCCCTGGTCTTGGAGTTACATCAGCTGTGGAAGAGTCAAGCGAAGAGTTCACTGATGAGGTAAGGGATGTATCCGCAGATTTTCCTTGGGCATCAGCATCTGAATCTTTTGGACAAGATTTATAGTTGCTCACAGAACCTGATCTCTGTGGAGTTGCAGTCCCAGACTTCACTTCAGCAATTTCATCTGGGAACAAGGGAAGAGAAGAGGAAAATTTGGTACTGGTATCAAAATCCACTTTAGGAAGAGCAAATATCTTCCCCTTCTCACACTTCAAAATCTTGTCTTTTAAAATCTTGATTAATAAATGAACAGCTTTTGCAAACAGTATTTGATACAAAATAAAAGCTTGTATACATAGTAGCACAACAGCAAATGTACCTATGCTAATTCTTTCTGTGCTCTGAGCTGTACTCCAGAACTATTTACATCTAGTTCAGACTAATACTAATTGTATTTTTTATGAACTGATTTCAGCAGCCACTTGTTCAATTTAGATTACTTAAAACAAAAACAGGTCAGCATCATAAGATTAAGTTCAATAGCAGTTTGTAGATATTTTTTCTATAATCTACTTTATTTTTATTCTATTTTTGTTCTCTTTTGGGTATTTATATATTGTTATTATTTGTATTTTATGATAATTCATTACAACATTATACTTGTTAGCATCTGCATTCATTTATTCTTCTCTTTTGAAAAGTTTTTACCATAGACTGTATATTTAGGCTGCACCAACTTATCTTTACCTTCAGTATGAAGAAAAAATAGTTTCATCTTAATAGTAGTGTTCTGCTGAAGCATCTCTATTCTTATTTTAAATACTGAACATTAACTTGGCTCTAAGCTGGCTCTTGAAAAATTATTTCAGGAGAAACTGGCGAAAAGGCAGTATCTCTTGTTTACACTAAGATACTTAAATTTACAAATTGTTAAGAGGAACAAAGAACCGTTCACCATGGCAGAGAGAAGGAATGTCAAATCAGTTTAACTACTGGAAGAGATACCCCAAATCTGTGCCCTTGGGTTGTATTTCCTTACAAGGGGAAACCAGGAATGTAGCAGGCTGCCCTCCCACAGCTGCATGGCTCTAAGCAGTCCAAAACAATTTCCTTTTTTCCACACAATGTTTTCCTAGGTATGCCATCTATACCAGTGGCTGTAGGTAGTTTTCATTTAGTCTACTATGCCCACAAACAAGTGTTCAGCCTCCATTAGCTCCTATGCTCACTTCATCTAACCAGGTTTTGTATACTGTGTTAATGTTACTCCATAAAATATATTTTTCTACAGGTTAAACTATATGCTTTCAAGATTTTAGTTCCTGTAAGCATAAAATTCCTACCTCAAATTTTAGCCACTAAAACTAGAACTGGTAGGTTAACTTTGCCTTGCAGCTGATATCTCAGAGCAAAGGGGAAGAAAATTGGAAGGGCAAAAGTGAGTAAACTCATGGGCAGAAAGAAACAGTTTTAAGTAAAGTGTGGGTGAGAAAGTGGCAAAGGGGGGCAAAGACAACCACTCACTATCTCTAAAGCAGTCTGATGCCCAACCAGTCTAAAGGTTACCTTCCCCAAAAGCCCTTTCTTTGCTAGGCATAACATAATACAGCACTGAACGTCCCTTTGTTCAATATGGCTCAGCTCTGCAGAGCTGCTGCTCCCCTGCCAACACAACAGTGCGGAAAAAGAAAGGCTGGATACTATGCCAGTGCTGCTGAGCAACACTCAGCAGCAGTGTGTTATCAATACTGTTTTAGCCACAGATCCAAAACAGTACCATGTAGGCTGCAAGGAAGAAAACTAACTCCATCTCAGTCAGATGCAGTACAGTGAGGTACAGTCCAAGTCAAATTTAAATGCCTAGATGTCATGCTGATCTTCACTAGAAAACACTGTTCCCATGCTTACTTCAGATCTAAATTAATGTTTAAATTTGGTGTGAGGTTCCAAAGGCAGCTTAAGTTGGTCCCAATCTCGCCTCCAACAATCCTGTCCCCTTTCACACTACTGGTATTAGTTCTGATTCAGACAATAAATGGAGCTCCTCAGGAGCTGATATAGCAAAAAAGTAAATGGGATGCAGCAGCTAAGCAGGTATCACAGGAACACAAGTCCAGGAAGGAATAAGGAAACACTAACACAGGTCAGATTGGTTTAAAATAAAAAAAAGGGCAGCATTAACTTTTAACTTAACTTCTAAATAAGTAAACAAAGACATGATTCCAAGTAGAATGATTTCCCCTACAACTCATTTAACTTAAATAACTCTTCACATACCATCAATACTACGGAAGTCCAGTAAGTATGTTCTGCTGTCCACCTGATACAACTGGAGACTCATTTTGGAATATGCACTTGTTACTGGATTCTTCCTCCGAACACGCAGATAATATGGATTTACAACCTAGTATGAAAGAGATTTGAGTCAGTTAACCAGAACTGCTTGAAAATCACTACATATTGTTTTTGTCCTTTTCAACTCACTAGTATATATAAAGTGATTTCAGATTTCATTACCTGTTGGATTTGAGGGTTGTAGGTGTTTTTTTAGGCAAGAGCAATCCTAGAGCCCCAAGACAAAACTTTAGTATGACTTTTTTTCCTCTCAGCATGTACATTCTCCCCTCAAAACCCTTCTGGCACAGCAAACACAGACAGGACAGGCACATGAGATTAATGCCAGAATATTAAAACAATTTCAGATGTCTGGGCTATGTAACTACACCACTCAAACCAAAATGCATTGTTATTTACTGTAAAGTTCCTCTACTTTGTTACCTTCCATTCATAATCCAGCTGTTTAATTGCTCTGCAAACTTCAGCCATAATATCATTTGGTCGACTCTGACTCCGTATTCCCAAGTGCCATTTAGCCCGTCTTACACCTTGGTGTTTTGATTTCTGTGGATTCAGCTCATCAAGGGTGTGGCGAGGACGTGGTGCTTCCGCTACTAAAAATGGCACTCGTTCAGGGTGAGGGCGAGACAGGTGGTGATCATCCAGAAAAGAATCTGGTGGACTTGTGGCCAAGTAGAAGTCTTTGGCCTCGTTCATTATTCTTCTGTTATCTATAATAAGGTGATAAGCAACAGCTAGAGGGTCCTGATGATTTCGGCTGTACAGACAACTTAGTACTTCCTCTTCAGTGCATTCGAACTTCTCACACACTTCTTTTAAGGCTTCATCATCAATCATAGTAGAACTGTAAGATGGATCTTCAGGAAACAAGTATTTTGGAAGATCCTGTTTAAACCATTCATGTTCCCTAGATTTAAAAATAAAAAAATTCTGAGTATATGTAAGTAAAGAAAACATTTTTAACAGGAAATTCCTTTAAAATATAAAATGAATTTTAGTCAGCGCTGGAAGAAAGAATAACGGTTGCCAGTCCAAGACCCCTTGTAGCACAGACAATAAAACAGTACATAAAGTAACCACTGCATGGACAAGATTTTACTAGATATTTTGCAGGAGACTGAAAAAAATATTTTTGCTATCTCATAAATTGCTTAGGAATAGACACCAGTTGGTTACTTTCTCATGTATAATTTCAGTACCTTCCTTCTCCTATTCTTGTGACTGTTTTGCTGCAGAAAGGGTTGATCCTTCTGATTCCCTCTCTTGTTCCTTCCTAGAAGCTTCTTCATTCCTGACCAAACAAGATTACTTTTTCTTTGGTTGTCTATTTTTAGTTATAGGAGCAAGTGATATAGTTGAAAGCTGGGTTTCTGTCTTAGTCAAAGTGTCTGTTGATATGTTTTTAGACTCAGTAATCCACTCTTCTCTTTCAGGGTGCTGATTAGTATTGAGTAGTGTTCAATGGGAACAGGCCAGGTCCCAGCACAGTGTTATAAGCCAGGCCTCCTTGCAACAGCATCTTTCTTTCAAACATTCTATCACTTCATGATGAAATGCAATTTCTGTCATGTCCTACCTGCACATTTTCTCCCACATGCCTTACCACCCAAAACCATACTGCTGTGAGGCCTGGGAGATGTTCCAAAATAGCTTGTTAATCTTCCAAAAAGCCTAAACTATGCTCCTAAGAAATACCAGTAGAAATATTTTGACTGCCCAAGGATATTCAAGATACTGAAGTTATGGCAGTGATGGAGAAATCACCACAGAAGAATGTAGTGAAGGTGCCATTCTGCATTTGTGCCACAGACCAAAAAAAACCCCATATATAAAACAAAGATATATCATTGTTAATTGCCTCCCTGAGACAAAACACAGTCACAATTTCAGTACAGAGCCCAAATACCAGATTAAGCTCAAGGCCAATGTTCTAATTCAAAAAAAACTCAAAATTAAAAAAAAATTTAAAACAAAACTTAAACAAAAAACCCACAAAAAATCCACCAAAAACAGCAACAACAACAAAAAAATCCCCCAAAAAACAAAACACCACCCAACCAAAGAAAGTCACTAAGCAGTACCTAGCACAGTAAATAGCAAAAAAACCCCCAAATCTTCAACATGTACAGCAAAAAATAGAACACAGAAGAGATCAGATAAATCAATACTGAGAACAGAAAAATCAATATTCTGACAAACAACCATTATAACAGACAGAATTTATAATCATTTTACCTAATATGCTCTGTTCAAATCTGTTTTTATCTCAACACCTTCAAGCCCCACACTGGGTATCAAACAGGACTGCTATGGTTTAACCCCAGCCAGCAACTAAGTACCACATGGTCACCTGCTTGGTCCTCTCCAGGGATATAAGGGGCAGAATCAGAAGAGTAGAAGTGCAAAAAAACTTGAGGGTTGAGACAAATTAGGGTTGCTAATTTAATAATTAGAATTTTTTTTTTTTTAAATTCTAAGCAAAAAGAAGAAATCCAAAAACACAAGAGAGGTGACAAGTAAACCCAAGAAAGACAAATAATGCAGATAAAAACAATTGCTCATCACAAAATGTTTGACAACCAGCAGACCAGCCCCATCAGCCTTCCTCTTATTTTTACTGCAGAGTATGACTCCATATGGTATGGAATATGCCTGTGGTCAGTTGGGGTCCGCTGCTCCAGCAGTGTCCCCTCTCAATTCCTTGTGCACCTCCAGCCTGCTCTGTTGGGACAATGTAATAAGTAGAAAAGACTGGCTCTGTGCAAGCCCTGCTCAGCAGTAACTACAACATCCAACTGTCAGCAAAACTATTTTCAGTCCAAATTCAAAATACAGTTACTGTGAAAAAATTCAACACTATTCCAGCCCAAATGGGCACACTGCACTAAGCTCTACTCAGTGTGATCCCGAGAACACTGTGCCTCAGCACACATGTGCTGAGCAAAATATAGCTTAATCAGAAAAAGTTAATTTGGAAGCAGAAAAATGTATTTCCATACCACAACAAAGGCTCAGCCATAGCTGGGATGACTGAACCCAGAGGAATAATTGTTACTATTCATGGAACCAAGCCTTTCCCCCTGCATGCACATACATACAACCCCTAGAAGAATTAAGGTATTCAACTCAGTTTGTCCTTTAAACTGTGAGGTGACATGTCATATGGATAATAGGACAGAGCTGTTTTGGATTCAAATTCCATTCATATTCTGTAACCAACTTTTTTCAACATCTGTTTCACACCACTTCTTTTCCACACACTATTTATTTAACACAACTGAGGTAAGCTAAGCTCCCAACCATTCAAGTTTTACAATGCTTAGTTCTCACAGTGATTTCATCTCTGCAAGGAAGTACTTCCCATTGTAATAAAGTAGTAAGGGATAAGTATGCCACATTTTTTGTTCCACTGAGAAAACAAACAATGCTAATTTCCTAACTTCCAACCCTAAAAGGAAAAGCATTTTCACTATGGTAGTATAGCAACATTCTTTCTTTGGAGCTTCTTGCAAAGAATATTAAGCTGCTGCATGAAGTACATTTGTCTCACCAATATTTTTTTTTTAATTTGATCCAGAGCACATGTGTCAATACAATCAACTTCTCCAGAATCATCTCTTGGAATCTGGAGCCCATGATGACTCTCTCTACCTACAAACTTTAATTTATCAGTACTTGGTGAAGTAATTACCATTCATACACAAATCCTTGCCAGTGCTTTGAAGCTAGAAATTGTTGCCTTACATGTGGACTATTCACAGTCTTAACAAATAACTTTCCAGAGCCTGAAGAAAGATGAATAAAAGCAGTAGTTATCAGATTAGAGAGACATTTACAGTAGAGTACACTGGTTCCTAGCAGCAAAGAGAATTTTCTTCCCCCAGAGAAGTCTATATAGTGTAATCTTTGCAAACTGTTATGCAAGTAAACAGATTTGCTATGGCAATCTTAAACCTCAAGAGTCTCAGAATTTCCATATATAATATAAATAATTTGCTTTACTATGATCTCCAATAGATACTTCATTGTCTACTGCAGATCAGCACTACAGGAGATAAAACCAAGACATCAGAAGCTGAATTTTTCATCTCAGTCTAGAAAACATAGACAAGCTGTATGACTAACTTCTTTGTTCTGCATATTTGCGTTATTGTAATTCCAGGATCTTGTGATCAGACATCAGCAAGTGTTTTACCTAATGTCTCTGATTGTTGCTCTTTTCATTGGATCCACTTGCAGCATGTGCTTCAAGAGACTAATTACAGATGGATTCAGGTACTGAGGGGTATAAAAGATACCATCACATATCTTCTTAAAAAGGGTTGGCACATGATCATCATCAAATGGAAGCGTTCCACATAACAAAGCATAGAGAATAACCCCACTGCTCCAAATATCTACTTCTGGACCTGCATATAACCTGTGAAAAATAATAATTATTAGTGATTTGTGTTTAATACATTTGAATATGTTTTCTATCATTTTTCCATTGTCTCACAGTAATCAAAAGCATGTGAACTCGGGGCAACTGATTTTGCAAGAACTATACCATTTCAGTTCTATTCTGTGCCTCCCTTGGACTTCAGTACTCTTCCCTTTCTAATATATAACAGGGCACAAATACAGTTTCCTCTCTAATGTGTAACAATAATCCACAGTGCAATCTCACACAATGTCAAACTGAAAGAAACATGCATCTACTATTACAAAAGCCCACATTATATACTGTTATTTGTGTTTTAGAGGAATCTGTGTGAAGTCAGTTATCCCCCAAATTGTGGCTGAAAAGTTTAAGTCCATATAGCAGAACATGTTGCATATTCTATGCCCCTGCCAGAGTAAACCAGACATTTGGCCTCCAATCAACAGGAGGCAATATTAGGGTAGGTAGCTGAAAGCAGATTTGGCAATCAGGGCTTACAAAAAGGGAAGTTACCTCCAAAATGAGTATATACTCTGCAGCAGGTATTTCACTACTACTCAACTTCACAGCAGGCTCTGCCTGTAACTCTGAACCTCAGCTTCAGAGATCTGAGCTGTACATGAGATTTTTAAAGCAATTCAGGCAGAGTGTACACAATGCATTAAGGGCATTAGACATCACCTCTACCTTATAGGAACTATTCAAAGCTAGCTCACAGGAGCTTTAAACATTTTAAAAATTATCCATACCACTAACAGCCCTCAGTTTCTCAGCATCAAGCTTGTCAGCTGAATTACTTTTGTACCCTTTAAAATCAAGCAGCAACATGACTGAAGTACATGCATACATGTATCCAATATAAAAGAAACTACCTTCCAGAAATTACTTCTGGTGCAGCATAGTTAGGGGAACCACAGCTTGTTCTTAAAAATTCTCCATCTGACATCATATTTGATAGACCTGAAAGTGTATAAGAGTAACTACTAAAAATTAAGGGAGCAAAATTATTTCACACTGCATATACCACCTAGAACAAACCACTAGTGATTCAAATTAGAAAAATAACAAATTTATTCCAGTTAAGAAATAGTATTATTTGGAATTAGGGAATTTTTTATGAGCATGCCACATAATCCTCCATATATTTTACCAGAAATCTGAGTAACATCAATATATTACTGCCCACAGCCTTGAGATACTAGAGAATATATTCATTCCTAGACTAGAACAGTAAAATTTGGATGACACAGGTATGACAAGAGAAAAAAGTTGTTCTAAGGGAGATGAAGCAGTATAGAAAGATAGGATTTTGATCATTAACAAGAAAGTACTAAAATTCTCATTTACTTCTAAAATGCCAAAGTGGGAAATGCTACCACATAAATTCCCCAAAAATCTGTTAGAGGTTACACAGAAGAAGGGAACTGAGGAGTAAACATGATTTTACTACAATTTACAGCCCTACACTATGCATCTGTTTCCTGCATCACTGTAGTTTAGTAGTTTGCTTTTCAGATACCTGACGTGTGCTTTAAAATCAGGCCACCTGTATTCACCAGCACTCAGTATAGTCTAACAAATGTAGAAATTTTCTTCTAGTTTCCTCAGTGAGGCTGCATGATCAAGACTACCATAAGCCAAAGAACTCAGTCTCCAAGAAGGAATTATGCCCTTTTATGGGTCAGCAGGGTATGTAGAGAGGAAAGAGTACAGCTTGGCTAGCTTTCATATTCTAATATACAAAAGCTATTATTAAGCTCATGAATAAATGAGTCCTACAGTTTTACTGACGCTGTTACAGGAAGATATTTTTGTAAGTCACTGTACTTAATTTCTTTACCACGTGAGCTGTTTCACCCAAATAATTTTCTTCACAATATGATTCCCAGGGTGCACACAATTGAACACCATACTTCTAAAACATACTTCAAATTCTCAGCATTACCTAACACCTTTCACTGGAGACCTACATAAGCAGGTATTATCCAATATGTCTACAAAAGATCTGTCATGACAAAGCAGCATGGATACCTTACTGTGCTTATGTGGTGAGGTTTCCTGACTCAGATGGTTCCAACACCTAGCTTCAAGGCTTCTCTGCAGCTGTGACATGAACAGCTGGCATAAACAAATCAGGAAGACTAGTGTATTTTTCTATAGCACTGTAGCTTCTTAAAGATGATTAATTGCCCCTGCACTGTTCTTCCAGGAGAGCTAAGCATCTACATTTTACATATGGTGAAACGGAAAAGGAATGAGTTCTGAAGAAGAAAGATCAGAAACTAAGTTTAGAGAAAATAGAGAAATTGGTTAAGTAAAACCAAACTAATCAGTTCCCAATTTCAGCCAGTCACAGAAAATACCTCAAGAGAAAGCAAGACAGCTTGAGAGGAAAACAAGTTCAATAAGTGATCAAGAATATCATTTTGCTTTACATCTATTTTCTTCATGTTCTTCTATTGTATCCCCACCAAGATATTAAATTATACATACTTTGCTTGACGTTTCCTATTGTTATTAACAGGATCTAACGCCAGAAATGCAATCAGATAGAAAAATAAAGCAATACTTACCAAAGTCAGCTATCTTGGCATTCATATGTGCATCAAGAAGCACATTTTCAGGCTTCAGATCTCTATGTACTACCATGTGCCTGTGACAGTAATCCACACCAGAAAGGATTTGCTGAAATAAACGTCTACTTTCTTTCTCATCAAGCTAAAACAGACCAAGATTTTAAATAATTAAGAGACAATGGCAGTTAACTTGTTTTTCATTTTTACCAGCCAGAGAAAACTTTCCCATGACCTAAACTTATCAATTATACTTATCATTTGATACTTTAAATAGCAGATTATCAGAACTTGTAGCAAGCAGCTTCATATCTTACATCATTTTGTTTGTACCACAGCTCTAAAGTGACTCAAACAAAACATACCCACTTACTCAGAAAGTAACTGGAAGTTCTTAATGACACTTTTGAAACTGGGTTTGGCACATGATACCTACTCACTAATAAGAACCATTAGCACTCAAACACTTAGCTTTGTATAACTGGAATTATCAGTTTGATGTTTAAGCACAGCACAAGATTTAAGCTGGCAAAAGCTGCTGAAATGCAGCACAGAAATTATAATTTTCAGATGCTTTTTATGCTATCAGCAGCTAGTCCCAAACAGCAGACATAGGTGGGCATTTCCTATAAAGACCCATAATTCACATCAGTTTGTGCCAAAAACTGAAGTATCCTATATACCTAGTCTGTAAAAAGGGACTTCAGATCTTGCACATAAGCTGTTCTAATAGTAGAAGACAATAATAAGGGGACAATTGTAGCTTTCTAATACTGGGATATACTAGATAAACAGTTTTCAGCTACTCCAACTGGGCACACATTTATCTGGTTTATTTTCAGCCACTGTAAATTGTAGATTAGCAGAAAGGAATAATGCTATGACAAAGTCACACAAAGATTTGGAATGTGTTAACATACAACCATTTGTACTTAAAAAAAAACCACAGTCATAAAATATATTTTACTTGATAGCAGCAAAATCAAAACTGAATAAAAGAAAACACACCCACATTTAACAAGATGTAACCAGTACCCCTTGCTCCCAGCCCATGATAATGTGGTTAGCTTAATTAATGCCACTCAGTGAGGCAAGCAGCCATTCTGTGACCATGCAAGTCATGTGTTCTTGCCCTCTGCCTCTTTATCAGGCCCTGGAGGTCCTGTGAAACAAACAAACCAGTTTTCCTCTTCCCCTCTCTACCATCCTCAAGATTCCTGGGTGCCAGGCTGATTATCTGCTGTCCCAGCAGCATTTAGTTCTCAGGCACAGAGCCATGGATGACTCTGCCATGGCATATGGAACTGCAACAGCAGCCAGAGCAATGTCTTTAACATCAGTTATGAGTCCTAAATTGGAATGAAACTCAGGACTTCTCAATGGCCACACACATCCTCTGCCTCCTTTGAATACTGAGTGACTTGTGTTTACCCCTATGACTTTCAAGGCTAGACTGTGACTGTTATATGGACAGAGCAAAATATGTATTAAGATTTGACCAGATCTACAGCAGGTCTAGGAGAATAGACATCCCAAGTTAGGTTGTGTAAAAATTCTTTACTACACTACTTATAAACTATACTAATATTCATTCTGCTCATAGAAATCCTATGCTACTCTAATCATAAATGCTATGCATTTATATCATAAATGCTGTGCTATACACAAATCATAATATTCTTTTGAGAAAATTTTTTATTGTATCATTCTGACAAAGATATCCAAAAAGATTCCCAAAAGTCTGGCCCCTCAGTGTAGAGTGACACAGGAACGTTGCAAATGCAGTAACACAATGCAAGCCACTGATTTGCAGAGCTGGACTACTTCTTACCCTTCCATTTTTACAGATATAATCAAACAGTTCTCCTCCTGAAACATATTCCATCACCATGAAAATGTCAGTGGGTGTACTGATGACTTGGTACCTAATAAGAGAAAGTATCTATTAGTCTATACATCCAGTAAAACACTAGTAACATTTAGTTAAAACTAAAGTCATACAAATAATCAGATAAAAAATATACTTTAAAATAGCTATCAATCAGTCTACAGCTACTGGAATGCTAATATTTTTCAGGAGCTTTTTACTCTCACTGTGTGATGCCACCATTTCAAAGAGCAGCAGAAAATTTGTAATCCCTATCAGGAATATCAGCCCTTGCTCTTTCAGAGGAACAAGTGATTTCCTTAAGACTGTTTAAGACTATAAGACTGTATAAGACAGTGCTGCCTCATCAACAGCTTGATGCAGTGGAAAAGGACCACAAAAGGACTTTGCTAGTGTTGCAAAAATAAATACATTTCAACGTTAACATGCAAAAAAATTCACTTGCCATAAATGAAAAAGTGCACTTCAAGACTAGGAAAAAATTTTCTCTTAATAATAATGAACAGTAATATTTAAGAGTATGGATCTCTGATTGTTATATTTTTATCATTCTACTTCAATTAAATTTTAAAAACATAGGTTTGAAGCTTTGAAATAATAAGTTTAATGACAAAATCAAAATTTAAGAGATTTTGATTTTTTCTAATATCCTTACCTAAAAATTGTTTAATTTGTTCTCTTTACAGCATTCCACATGCAAAAGAAAAAAATTTACCTGTGATTCCCTGATAAAGAAACTATCATCTCAAATCTGCTGAACTGTTTAGCAACACCACAAGCACACATTCCTCTTTCACCCTGGTATGTCACTTGGTGCACTGACACTTCCTATTCTGTTCCTGCTATAGGTATGCCCTTTGGACCCATTCATAGATTAACTGAAAGCACTAGCAATTTTGCTGACAAATCAGCTCAACAGTCTTCTGAAAACTAGCCCTCTGAAGAAGTGGGTGAGTTGACCTTACACAATATAATTTAGCTTCAGTGTAACAGCTGTTGCTGAATTAAAGGGAGTACAGAGACACGGCAATCTGCCAGTGGCAGTGGGATCTTTAGACAAAATTCTACCAATAAAACAAACACGCACATCATTACTAAGACAGTGGAATTCACCCACACTCTGGAAGTGCAGATTATTTTAACAGGAAATTAGAGTCAAAGAAAATCTATGTTACTTATAATTTATTACCACAGATGAGACATGAGGGGTCTACTCTGGAACATAGTTTTACTCTGAAATCCACTGATGAACTATTGGTCAACTAAGAGATGTAATCAGGCACATTTTAAATACCACATTTAGACAAAGGGTAGCCACTACACTGAAGATTTCTGAAATAGCAATTACATTTATCAAACTTTACATCCTTAATTCAGAAAATCTTGCAGAGCACCACCTACACTGAAAAAACATATATCACTGACCAGTGCATCACTAAAAACACTTTGAGAAGATACAATAAACCTATATAAAAATGACCTTTACACTCTTGTTCTTAGTAACTTATTTTCCAAGGGGAAAAAAAAAAGATCAACATAAACAGAAAAAGTAAAATTAAGTACCCACTAAGCTGAGAGATGACTGTTATTAGAAATATCTGTCATGACATTACCTTTCATACACCTGTCCAAAGAATGCCTAAACAAATATCTAATGGAAACTCTCCAGCCTGCAGTAAAGATCAGCTTTGTGAAAACACATTACAGAGGGCACAGCTGCATACTTCGAAGCTGGTTACTTTTCTGACAAGATACTGTTTGTAGTTTAACAAACTACATTGCCCTTTAAGTGTATTTCAGATCAGTGAGAGCAAAAAGAGATTACTGCCTAAGTAAGTTTGATTACAGTAAGCAAAACTTACAGCTTAATTATATGAGGATGCCTGAAGAGTTTGAGGTTCTGAATCTCCCTGCGGATTTTGCCTACAACATCAAGGCTGCGAATCTTCTGTCGATTCAGGATCTTCACGGCAACTTTATGCCCAGTTAACTCATGTTTTCCAACTGCAAGAAACAAGGAAGTATTCAGTCAAGGTTTTCAATTGCTCAGTTATGACATGACTTCTTCTTTTAGAATATAGCCATAACACTAGCATTCCACATATCCCCATTATCCTTGGGGAGGTTGAAAAACAGATGGTATGGAATTTCTTCAGCCCTACTCCAATTTCTCCCACTATTCTATCATTAGAAGATGTATACATGGAAGTACTTCTTTAAACCTAACCAGCAGAAGTCTTGCAGCATAACATTTTTTGCAATACTGGTTTAAAAAAAAAGAAAAAAAACAAACAAAAAAGTATATCCCTAAACCCTCCCACCCTTGCTAATTTGAGAGAGCATTTTCTCTCCCTGTGTAAGTCACTCCAAGCTTTTGGCCTATTTGGCAACCCACTCAAACATGTTTTCCTGTACCTCTTCTCCTTCATCTGCAAGAAGCCTGCTTCAGCAATTGCTCTGAATTACCAGCATAAATACCTGATCAGTTTACTTATAAAAATGTATCTATCTTTGGAGCAGTCTGACAGCTCCACATCCTGTGCAGTTAACACCAGAGCTTTATTCTATTTAAATAAGTGGCAAATGTGATGAGAAATGCATAAAAAATAGAACAGAAACAAGAAAAAACAATGCAAACATGCAACCTGATGCATTCCTAGAAGTGGAAAAGAAACTAAGGATGGTTTCATTGTTCTTTAAACAGAGGAACTAAAAAGTATAAACTATTTCACAGTAAGTTACCTCTCTTAGAGTCCCTAACTTTGCAAGTGCTATTGGGAGTAGTCACAGCAAAGTCCATCAGCATATTTTTCTGAAACCCAAAACACGATCACAGATGGAACAGCGAGAAGCAAAGTATCTTTTTTACTAGAAGGCTTCCCTACCTGCATGGCTGCCACATGCAGTGATTATAATACCATTAATTTGCCGTACCACCCTGACTTCTACCTTCCAAAGATAAGCCAGATTCTCCAGACACACACATGGCTCACCTTTGTCCACGTGAATAGACATTTGTAACAGAACTGTGATGATCACAATACTCACTCATTTGGGTGCCTACCCTTGCTTGAGAATTTAAATAAGTCCTGGGCTTCAAGTTTTATTTAAATATATCCACGGGAAGCTATGATTAAGCAGCAGTGATCCACAAAAATCTTTCTGTGTTCAAAATATAATCTGGGTAGAACAAACAAACACCCATTAATCTGTAAATCTCATTCCAGCACAAAAGACCTTCCTGCTGCCTTCTGCCTCTATATCAAGCTAAAAACCAATGCAAGTAAGAAGTTTGTAGCAGAGAGGCAGAAGATAATAATAAGCATCTGTGTGCTTATTCTTACAAGATGATGGCCACCTATAAAATTAAGCAGTCTGTAGGGAACTAAACAATGGATTACCCAAGACCCAGAACCATCACAATGCTGCACTGAGAAATGCCTAGTACCTGAAAAAACAGAAGAGCTCTGACTAGGATGAAAAGACATCCCCTCATTCAGTGGGGCCATTATCTAACAGTGGCCACAATAAACAAAGTCCTGGGCAGGCTTATTTGCACTACTGAGGAATGCAGGACAAAGCTTAATCCACAGCAAACTCTAGAGACACCACAAAGCAGTGGCAGGTGAGTGTCTAGAAATGTATGAGAACTACTTGCTTTGAACCAGACCTACAATCAAAGCAATCACATTCCCTCTCTTTTATTCAAATGTGATTGAAGTTTAAAGGAACCAAATAAATTATATCACCTATGTTCAAACCCTCAGGAGTTAAGAATCATCATAAAATATGAAAAAAATTAGAAAAGCAATTATTCTAATTGTAAAGTCTTTACCCATCCATAACGGGAACTGAAATACACCAGGAGTATTTGAAAAAAATGTTAAAAACCTAAACAAACAGAAAAAAACCAAAAAGCCCCCCACAACTTTAATCAGTAAGTTAAAATACAACATTTGTTCTGGTTAGTAAGAAACAACTTCTTAGAAACCAAGCAAAAATCTTTTGGTCAAACACACGACTCTCTCTTCTCTTGTTGTACAAAGTACATTTTAGAAGGTGTTTATTACAGTAAAAAACATACATATTTGACCAAGTCTACAGTTTAGAATATAAATACACAGTTCTAATATGCACTGGGTTATAAAATCTCATTTTTAAGCCATTTTGTTTCATTTCTGATTTGTCAGTCTACCTTAGATTGGAATTCCATTAGCACTCAGAAAAACATTAGAAATTCATCAGCTACAATCTAAGTTCAATATGCAAGCCACATAAGAAAAGAGCTTTTCAAAACAATTTTTTCTTTCAAAGTAATTAAACTAACATTTGCAGTTGATTGAAACCAATTCTAGCTGTCATAGCCTTCAAGGCTGTGGGCCTCATGCCTTAGTTTTATTCACTGAAAGAAAATACGATTTACTGCTTCTTCAACTCCATCAGCTCTGGATAAATTATTTTAATGAAAACATAGTGTGGTTCAATGCTGGTGCAGAAAGATCACAAAAAGTCTATTCTCTTGCTTAAGACATTTCAAATTCAATCTCTATTTTCTTCAGAAATGTTGGGATTACTTTTACTCACAAATTAGCCTTTTAAGATACAAGTAGCCTTTCCTGGATAGAGTTCAAGGTATCTGTTACCGGTAAAACAGCAGATACCAGCTGGTAACAGACTGCTGACACTTTTGAATTCAACATTAGGACAGAAGTGAAAGCATCACCCCAGATGATAACATCATGTAGAAACGTAAGCAGCCACTGTTACCTTCCTGAAATCTACTTTGCATCACCACCTGATGGAAGTTTTACCTATAAAAGGGAACACACCCTAATGCTTAACTAGCTATCAGTCCTTCAAAATAATCTCTGCAAAAAAAAAAAAAAAAAAAAAAAAAATTCATTTAAGAGACCCAGTATATTCCTATATTTCTTTTTTTTTTTCTGATAATATGGCTTTGCATAGCATCAACATTTTCATGACAGCGACAGAGTCTCAAAGCAACAGCAACTTATTATTAACTGTAGAAGTGCAGGAGGACAAGTCTCTATCTTGTTCAAAAGTTTTTCGATTAGAAAAAACTGATTTTGAGGCCATGAAGACCAAATACAACATACTTATGAAATGCAGGTATCAGTCATTAAGTTTTTAGAGGAAAAAAAAATAATCTGAAGGCAATGTTGCATTTAATGAAAAAATTTGCAGCAGGCCAAAAAGCCAATCCAAAGCTCAGAGGGAAGCAGTCTTTAAGAGTATGAGCTAAACAAATTTTTTCACTAACAAGAATAGTGCATGCTATGCAAAGCCACCTTGCTGCACATTAGATACCATAGGGACCTACAGTGTTCATTTGTTCACAAGTGTCTCTTATTGTTGCCTTGACCCAGACCACTTGGTTTGCAACCTATACAGCACAGTGTTGATACTCTAGATACAGAGAGCTGGAACAATTATTGTATATTTAGAGCCGTAAGTAATAGCCCTCATATTCTGAGTATGGACCACTGGAAGCCTGAGTACTCTTCCTTTTATGAAAGATAACTTTGAAAAAAAAGTTTCTGGAAATAAGTTTGCATCTAGTTTCAGGAGGAAATATCAGCAGTGCTTAAAAGGTTTTACACTGAATTCTAGTAAAGTCTGGACATGAATGTGTCTCATACAATTGGTTTAGATTCAGTATTCTTCCATGTCAGCTTTTCACTTCAGTGGCATTTTAGCTTTGCCTAGATTATGTCTCAGAACAGCCATTTCTGCGACTGCCCATCTGAGGCACAGTCAGGTAAACCAAGTCACTCAGAATTAATTCAGAGTGGCAGAGACAGGTGAAAATTGTAAACTGGACAGAATCACACCAGTGACAGCTATAAGCAGCGTGAGTTCATCAGAAAGCAACGGCAGGAGACCTTTCACAATCATCAAATAAAGCACTGACTGTCCAGTTTGATTTTTCCAGGTTGCCACCACTGTTAGAGTAAAACATTAGCTTAGCCATATGTCTGACCCCCTACATAACCTGAGCTCAAGGTATATGCTAATTGAATTTTAAGAAGTGAATACATGTTCTTCACCTTGTATCAATTGATGAAACCATATCACCAGAGAAGGAAATTATGAAAACAGGAAAAACAATTGTAGATCTGCTATTAAATGAAGAAAACGTGTGCTGAAGAGGAAAACCAGTGCATCATAGATAAAATGTTCCTTATTAAGCACAGCTGAAGCAAGACAAAAGTAACACAGTACATAATATGGGGACAAGAAAAGCAGTAGCGCAACAGCACTCTCCTAAATTTAGGATCATACTAGAACATTGATGGTATGTTAATCTTAGTCTTCTGTGGTATGTTGGGTAAAAAAACCACAAAACAAACACAGCTTTGACCCCTCCCCTCAAGCAGGCAGTCCTTCCATGAGGAAAGAGAACTTAATGCTTGTCTGCTGCATCACCTCTTTTCTCTCTACTCAAGGAAGTACTAAGTTCCCACAGAAAAGAATGGGAATTGCCAGACCGGGGAGGGGGAGGGGAAGGGTCACTATTCCAAAATGGCTGGAGCTGTCCTTTTATAAGCTTCCCTTGAAAAAGAGACTTGAAGGGCTGCGCTTTCCAGATATTTTTACTGCTTTCCTAGAGCAAATTATCATCCTATTTACTATACCTTATTGATTTTTTTCATAACTCATCAATAGCTAAAAGAGGTTGTGCAGAGCAGATACAATGGATTATCTACACGGGGGGGGGGGGGGGAAGAAGGGGGGGACAGCTGGGGTTTTTATGTACCTATTAAGAACCACAACCCTTATGAAGAGATAAGCCTGAGCTCTACTCGTTTGAGAAAGGATGTTTTTTATTTGCTTGCCCCAATATTTTAAGTTCTCACAAGCAGTACGACAGGAAAACTAATGCTTAGTCCTGCGGTGAATGGCACTATGGGGAAGTTTAAATCCTACCTTATTTCTACTAGCCTCCAAATAAGCAGTATGGCATCCATAGCCCTACACAGGAAAATTTTTTTTTAAATCTGAGCTGAAAAAAAAACCAACTTTGTTAACCACTGGTCAAGCGGATTGAACATGAAGTTTTCCGCATCTGCACATCAGCTGTGTTACCAAATAATCCAACACTCTCAGACCCATCTTTTTACGCTTATTTCTCTGTTGAGAGAGTAATCTTGCCTTCCTTACAAGGGCAGCGAGAGTTCATACTTGAGCATCAAAATGCTATATACGAAGCTCGAGGATTTAAGACTTCCTACTTTCGTTACACGCTCGGTGTTGTTCGACACAGAGGCAGCATTCAGCGCCCAGCGGTTATTTCCGCAAGCGAAGATGAGAAAGCTGTTTCTCTCCAGCCGCTGCATCCCGCAGCGGGACCGCAAGTCCCACCCCGGCAACTCAGCCCGTACAAGCCCCGCTCCGCGCGGTGCTCCCGGAGCCGGGGCCGCGCTGACGGGCCGCCGATCGCCCCGCGGCCCCACTCACCCTTGACTTTCCCGAAGGTGCCGACGCCCAGCGTGTCGCCCAGGATATAATGCCCAATCTTCACCCGGCCGTGCTCGTGCTTCTGTTTATCCGCCACCGCCGCCATCTTGAGGCAAGGGCCGAGCCTGCGCATAGCGCCCGCCCGCGCCACGCCAGAACGCCGACGGAAGGAGCAACCACAGAGCGCCCGCCCGCGCCCAACCCGGAAGCGGCCGGCGTGCCGACCTCCCTCCCGCCCTGGCCTAGGACCAACCATTGCGGCTCTGGGGGAGGCCGGGCCGGCCCACGGGTGCCCCGGGGGGAGCGGGCCCGCTGGGCCGCCCAGCGGGGCGCGGGGCGGGCGGTGCTGCTCGTCAGCAGCGAGGCCGCCCTCATAAAATGGACGTCCCAAGTCTGTGTTTCCAATAGCCTTCTAAATAAAATCTATTTGTTCTCCTCAGGTCCTCTTCACACATACAGACCCTGTTACAGGAATATGAAGAAAAGTAGGAGTCCTTTAACTACCTTGACCATGTATTCTGCCGTCTGGCTTGCCCTGCCAGCCACTCTCACTGCTCATTCACATTGCATTTAAGCCACTAACTTGCCTTCCATTCCATACATTGAGTATTTTCTATACACTGAAGATCATAGTTCTTTTTTTGTTGACTATAACTGGATTTTTTTTTTTTATTATTCACATTCCAACCCTGCATTGAAAGAAACGCATAAACCTGGAGAAGGAGAGACTATTGGGTGGGTATTTTCAAATGAAGAGATCATCAATTGACAAGGAAGGTTATGGGCAACTCCCATGCCTTCACTGCCTTTCCCTAGTGCTCCAGACTAGGGAATTATTAAATCTAAAATGGTTTCTCTTCCCTACACATAGCCCCTGAATGTGTTTGCAAATAGACAAATACATTAGACAGCAAGAAAGTTTGGACAATTTTATTCTAGTAATGGTCCTAAATCCAATTCAGAGAGCCTTCAATATTACTTATGTTATAGTCATTAATTTAACAGTTGAAGACCAGAAATTCTCATATATGCAAAAATTGTATATTTTTAAAAATTTCTCTATGCTAATGGCATAAAAAATTTCATAGGGAGTACTGAAGATTTCTCCCTTGAGGTGTGTTCCCACTCAAGAGAGAAATCTTCATATCCTCACTCTGGAAAGGGAAGGGATGTGTCAGACATGGGTGCATTAAAAAGTGGGACTGAGCTCTTGTAATATATATGCCACATATACAAAGTGATTGTCAGCCAGATGTTTCTAGCTCATCTGTGTCAGCTCATCAGCCTGTAGCTCAGCAGCTATCTGAGCTATCTCTTCAGTCATCTGCATTGTCATTTGTGGGTTCATTTCTCAGGAACTTAGCCACATCCTCATCAGGGCCAATTTCTGGCAGGAAATATTGTTTCTCACATCCTCAGGATGTTTAACTTTGAATAGTTGAGTCAGGCTGGTCTCAGCATTCTTCAACACCAAAAGCAGCGTGACACTCTTCCTCCATCCACCTCTGATAACTTTTGCTAACAAGACAAAGCCTGAGCGGTTTTACCCAACTTTGAGCATCCTGCTATACTACAATAGTAACATTACACTACACTACAATAGAATTGTACAAGATTTGAAGCATAATTATAGAAATTATTTTGCCTGATGTTAGATCTTTGGCTCTAAAAATCTTGTACATCACAAGTAGCAAACACACACAAAAATCAGAATATACAAACTAGCATAGTTCATGATCTGAGATTTTGGGGAAAATCTTTATTTTCACAGTGGGATTGGATAGCAATCTAACATCAGGAAAAGAAAAACTGGCAAGTTTTATTTTGTGATGCAAAAAGCATTACTTTAACCTTTTGGAAACTTTCATTGTAGTATGAGGAGAAAATTATGTGTTGAATATCACAGTGGGAAAAGAAAGAATGGATTAAGCCATAGCTAGCTGAAGGGGGAAGAATTATTTGGGATGTCTGCAGAGATTGTTAGTGTCTTGATACCAAATGATTACAAGCTATTTTTAGCTTTAACTCAAGCTATTGTCCTGATCAAGAACAATACAATGAGACTTCAAAAAGCTCTACAGGTCTATACTAGAAAGTGATATCATTTCATTAATTACTAAGTAATCTCTTAATCACTCAGATACCAGAACATTTTAGAAAATGAAAATGAATGAGCTGTTAGAGTCAGACAGGAACTAGACTGTAGAAGCCATTCATGACTTTTATATTTGCAGCCAAAAATTAGTATCACCAAAATATTTTGCCCATTTGTACTGCGACTTTTATGCTTATATCACTGCATTCAGTTTTACTCAAAGTTCTTTGTCACACCTTGAGCATCAAGTTGCTTTTAAAAAAAGAATAAAAGCATAAAATCTACAATAGGTAAAGTCTCCCAGCCTGTGTCAAATAAAGCATAATCTAGACCAAGCCTTATAGTAAGATCACAATGGATTCATATTTTAGTATTTGATGCTTATGTACAATACATACACAGCTACCTGAACTTTACTCAGTGTGAAAGGTAGTGATAAACACTTTACAATACTAATCAGCAGTAGCGTTTCCTCTCCCACCTTTTGCATGTAAGAGTCATATTGGAAGACTGAGCTTTTTTGGCCAACAGTGCAACTTTGAATAATGTATTGTGAGGGTGTGGGCAGCAGGTTGTCCTCTTAGAATAGCTGTAGGAACAAAACATAGCAGAGAAATTATTCCATGAATCTATGAGGCCAACTTACTTTCTGATAACTTCTCCATTACACTATTTATCTTGAAAAACCCATGCACTATTTTAAAACCAATTTTTCTGTTTGTTTATTCAACTGGGCATGCCTCTACTTTTAAGACAGCATTTAAAACAAAAAATGAACTTAAAGCTGACTTAATGATTTCTGTCAATTATCTCCATAACCTGATTTTGAGACAGAAAATGGCTGTTAATTCCCCTAGTACAATTTCTTTCTTTTAAATGTAAATTGTTTCTATATTTTCAATGATTTATTCCCATAAGTAGGAAGATCAGAGTACTTTAGCATAAATAGAACTGCTACTCTGTGGAAACATCCCCCAGAGCTGTTACCCAGTCTGGTGTTACAAGTGCCACCAGCGTGGAGACCTGGCATGTGTGCCCTTTGTGACACACAGGGAGCCAATGCTGTGGTTCAGGGATACAGCAAGACTTTCCTGACGCATGTATGCCCAGACACTGCAATGGCCACTGCACAGTTCAGGGCCAGTAAGGAGACCAGGAGTGGGAGATGACATAATAATTAGACAAGAAAACAAAGGATTGAAGACAAAACAGAAAACATTCTCAGCTTTACTAACAATATGAAAGGGGGAACATTAATGTGACTTGTTTCTATCTGGTATTAAGACTTCGTTGGCATCATTGGTGCGCTTTGCAAACAGGCACATGCTGCTTGCCCTTCTCTCTTTGACTTCTGACTCTTCATTACCACTGAATGTACAGCACATTTCTTCCACAAGCTCCTGGTACTATTTTCACTTCCCCTCTCCTCCCCATAAAAGTGTATGTTTTGCCCAGCTCTAGGCTTTTATCTGTTCTTCTGTTTCTAGTTTCTAAGTTGACACTGCAGAAATCACACAATCACAGAATGGTTTGGGTTGGAAGGCATCTGTAAAGATCCTCTACCTAATCCAACCTACCCTGCAATCAGCCAGGGTTTCTTCAACTAGACCAAGCTGCTCAGAGCCCAGTCCAATCTCTTCTGAAACACTCCCAGGGAGTGGGAATATTATAGCTTCTCTGCGATATTGAGTATATTGCTTCTCTGGGGAGCATGTTCCAATGTCTCAGCAGCCTCATAGAAAAAGACTTCTTCCTTTTACATAGTCTGAATCGACTCTCCTTTCGTTTAAAACAATTACTCCTTGTCCTGTAACTGCAGGCCCTACTAATAGGTCTGTCCCCATTTTTCTTCCAGGTCTTCTACAAATATTGAATGGCTTCCTGGAGCCTTCTATTCTCCAGGCTGGCTAATTCCAACTCTCTGGATTCATAGGAGAGGTGCTGCAGCCCCCTGAATCATCTCTGTGGCCCTTCTCGGGGCATGGTCCAACAGAACCGTGTCTTTCCTGTCCTGGGGATCTCAGAGCTGAATGAAGTCTCTCTGTAAACAGAAAGACAGAGCAGCAGAATGACCTCACTTGACCTGCTGGCCACACTGCTCTGGATGCAGCCCTGGATGCGGTTGTCTTTCTGGTTTCTGGGCTGCAAGTGCACATTGCTGGCACGTGTCCAGCTTTTCAAGCACCATTACCCTCAATCCTTCTTCAAAGAGTATTTCTCAATCCCTTTATTTCTCAGCTACAATTTGCCTTGAGTGCAGGACCTTACTCTTGGCCTTGCTGGGCACCTTTAAATTCACATGAGCTGGCTTGATCTTGACCATGTCCTTCTTCATGGTATCTTGTTCCTTGGACATATCACAGCCACGCCACTCAGATAGTGCAAATTCTCAGAGGGTGCACTCAATCCTCCTATGTCACCAATGCCATGTTCACTGTGGGGCAAATTACACTTTAACCTTCCCTTATGGCTCTCATGCCTACAGACACCCTTCTTCCTCTTACATCCCTTCCCAGGCTTGCTTTAGCCACACTTGCCTTCCTAGCTCTATCCTGTCACAACTGAGCAATGTCCCTATGCTCGTTCCAATATACCTTCTCCTGCCTCCTTGTCTTTTTATTTCCTTCTTGCCCTTCAGTTTGGCAAGCAGGTCTTGACTCAGCCATGCTTTTGGCTTTCCTTTCGTGGTTTCTTACAGATGGGAATTGAGAGCTCTTGCTTCCTGGAACACACACTTCAAGATCTGCCAGCTCTGTTCCACTCGCACTCAGAGGGCAGTGGGTCTCATGCACTATCTCCTAGAACCTAAGAATTGCTGAACTCTCCTGCAGGGAGATGCTCATGCAGCCTGCTGTTGTGCCAGGGAGATCTAAAGACCTCACTCAGGATCACTGTTTATAGGTTCCACGATGACTGACTTTAGTCCTCCAGCAGTTTCCATATTGGCCGCCATCCAAGGCAGTAATTACTGGAAATTTTCCGAAGTCTGTAAGCATGATATTGTTCCTCTCAGGCTGTTTCAGGCAGGTAACATTCCCAGGCTACCAGGGGATGACTTACTGTCTTGTCACCCTCCTTCGTTAGGCAACAAAGGCTGTGCTATAGACAGTGCTTCTGATAAGTTCAAGGGCAGTTTTGATGGAGTGGGGGTGAGGGGGTGGAGGAGGTGTTTGGAGACATAACACATCTCCACACAAGGATCTTTTACCAACGGCAATCCATCTTTAACCACTGTGGTCACTTGAACACCTCTCTGCCTTTAAGAAACCGGCATCCAACACACTTCTAAAAAGTGAGACTTGTACACTGAACAATAGGAAATGTAATTTCTGATGTAATTTGGACTATACTATCTATCAGTCTGAAGGATGCAAAAATCACACTTTACAGACTGTGTATGACAATACTTCTGTATACATAAAGTATATGGTAAGCATTATGCATAGGTTCAATTCATAACCCTCAAGTTAAAATGCTTAAAAATATTTCAGCAAAAGATTATACACTGAGCAACCAGCAAAGCAGCCTTTCAATATTTAAAAACATACTACAAAGAACAGAAGGGCATCAAAATATATTTCCTGTACAGTGCAAATATAGCTGACACATGAAGTACACAATCCTTTCTGAATAGGACATAAAATCCACAAAAACTGATTTTTCCTGCCCCTCACCAAGAATTTTAAAACAATTGGAAATGGCTGTCAAAATTCTTGTCCATAAAATTCACTCTTGCTGCAAGTAAACTTCTCCCTGAAATAATGGGTTTCAGTTACTCCAAGTCATTGGACTTTTCAATTACTGTTACCATGGTGTATTGCTTATTATACTAATGTTCATTTTTCAGGAGGAGAATTCATGAGAAGCCAATAGGTAACAGCAGCAAGTAGCTAAGCACTTGCCCTTACAGTGTTTTATCATGTCCGCAGGTCAAACAGGCTGTTTAGAGCAAAACCCCACGCTACGGAAAGGTCACCTGACCTGTCATGGAAAGGCTTTCACTCCCACCCAGTCAGAATACCCATCATACCACCATCCAACACACTCAAAAAGCCCTTCCTTAGAATCCTGCTGACCCAATTTTATAATGGTCTTGAGTTTATTGTCAGAGAATAAGGACACATTTATGATTACTTCCTCCCTATATGGATGTGTCTGCCAAACATCACCAAAAACCTCATTTCAGGGGCACTCCTTAGCCCTGGGAATGGCCAGTATTGTGCAGTGTATTTTAACAGCATCACTACCACTTGCATTTCGACTTTCTTAGATGGACCAATTGAACCTGGAGCAAGCAGTCTATTTGCAAGCAAATGATTTTTCAGTTTAGAAACAGCCCAAGTTGATAAACTGGATTATCCAAAAGTTCTAACTCCATTTGAACACCTGAGAAAGTGCAGTCAAGCATTCTAATTTCACACCTGGCTGAAAATGTCTGTGATTTTACAGTTGATACATTAACTGCTGATCATACAGTAGTGACAAAGCAATATTCTGCTTTTATCACAAAATCAACTGCAATGAGAACAGCCTCAGAAGCTTGAAGCATCACGTTTTTCAGTTTCTATTATTGTCTCTGAAAGGCAGTATGAAAGTCCTGTAAAACCTTGCAGTAACTACTGCAATTCCCCAAACTTTCATACTAGCACCTTATAATCACTTTCTTAGTGTGAGCTTGAATGCCAGTAACACACAATGTAGGGTAAAAATACATTTATCTGTAATTTTTATGTAACTTCAACCGACTACTGTCAGATATTAATTTATTATCTAAACATATCAGAGTTAACTCAGATCTGTGTGCAGCTTTCCACACCAACCCCATCAGGCCATTCAGGCAATTTTGTCCCACCCACAGCAGATCTCCAACCCCCTGTATCTGCAGTACACATGCTCCAGGCTTGGGAGCTTCTTTTTGCCCAAGAAGCAATGATCCACACACTAAGCAGCACCTCTGCAGGCTTTCCAGTACCACACAGCAGTAAATAAAGAACAGAAGTGGAAATCCCTCTTTCACTAACACCTCCCAAAACAGCACATAGAGCCATTTTAATAGCTACTATCTTCAAAACACAATTCTGGCTCTCCATGCTACAGCATACTGAGATCAAAGGCACACAGGGCAAATCCACAGTACCAATATTCCACTTCCTCTAGCAGGAGACATCCTTTGAGTAATATAGACAAGCCTCTTTTTCAGTTCAGTGCAAAGATTATGGTCCTACTAAATGAAGAGTAAAATGTTTTAAATTAATCAGTTCGGAATTTGTATTTTTAAGTATTTATGTATTTTCATGAATACTGCATTTCAGTGAAGTAAGTAAAAAAAGGTGACAGATTTTCTGGTTAAGACCATTTATTTTAACAAATAGATGAGTCTTTAAGATGAACTGGAGGCTGCAACAGCTGCTCTCTTGGGCTTCGGTGTCGTTCCCTCACGGAATCCGTTCCTGCAAGTAGAAATATCATTACCACTTTTTGAGAAGTTGATTCCTGCTCCAGGTTATTTTCTGTCACTCATGTTTTAGATGAAGCTCACTAGCTTTTTTCAATTTATCTCAGTAATGCACTGAAAACACTAGAGCTCACCCGTTCAGACCTTTTTAAAAAGAAACACATTGTTAATAATTGTCTTGAATAAGTAGTATGGTTTTTATTCTCTTCTGCTGAAGTAAATTTGAGTTCTTGAAACAGGAAGATTTCATTATCTGAGCAAACACTGCAAATATAGCTCACCTGCTGAAAGCATATCTTAGTTCACACTCCTTTTGATTAAAGAGGTCCTGTTTCTGAAGACTATTTCTTACAAAAATCCTCTGTGCCTCCAACCACACTTTCAGCCCTGAACTTGATTTTGGATGACATTTCTACTTGAGCAACACTCAGTGGAAAGCAAGCTACAACTGTACACTGGACTGGATGGTGTTTTATGGCTGCCATTTGGAAAAAAAACGAGCTAACCAAAACAAATTAACTGACCCTCAACCACTGAGGGACTGAGATCCCTCAACCCACGACTGAGACTTAGTCTCTTACCTTTTGCTAATGTAGCCAAGCTACATTTTTATGACAATACTCCTGAATTACATGATATTTTTCATATTGCCTTCTTGTGAGACCAGAAGTTACAGAATTCCATGGGACTCATACAAAATGGGAATCATACAACACGCCTACTACCTCCCAAGTACAACTCAAAGGCTTTATAGCAAGTCTTAGAAACTTGTAACTCAGGATCTGATGAAATATCTAATCAGTGCTGACTGAACTCCAAATGAAGAGAGGGACCATAAGTTATCCCTGTCCTGAACTTTTTCTGAGGGAGCAAATGGGGGCTGGAGTGCATTCTGAGACTTATCTCTAGAACCTTTAGTGTAATCATCTATTTAATTGAATCACAAATAGACAAAATACCACACTAATAATTTTCAGATGTGAGCTTCTTACTACAGTAACATTTACGTTCTGTACTATCTTCATTTAGTATAAACATTGCAACTTTAAACACCCTTTGGTCTTACCAGTAAGGTGTTTTTATTATCGAAGGATAAAATGCATACAACCATATAAAGCACATTATTTCATTACATATTTATGAAGACTGTACTCTGTTAAGTGGTATTAAAACAAAATAAAAATGTTAACTTTGAATGGTGAATTTTATCTTTAAGTGGTGTCTATGCAGGATTTCAAGCATGCTAGTCTGCAATAAAATGTTATACCTGAATCGACGGTAGACCTTCTTCAGGTGCCTCATGCGACCAGTACCAGTGGTGTTGCGTCTTTTAGCCTTTGCACTCCAGTTATCTAAAATATGTAGGTTACTGTTATTTACTTGCACCAAGTAATTTTGGTTCCATGTTACATTTGTATGGTACTATTATTCAAGATGACAAAGGAAAAAAACCTGACTATAATTGAAATCAGTTTTTACGCACTAAATAGTGCATATCACCCAGCATATAGTTAAACTATCATTAATTTGAACAAAGCTCCAAATGAAAAATGATAAAACTGCAAAATGACAGTTTTCCTCCTTGACTGAAAAACAATCAACGTACTGAAGAAACACGTTTTATGAACTAGAGCCAGTTAAAAGTTTTTTACTTACACTTTCTCTTACGCTTAGCAGGGTAACCACATTTCCCACAAGTCGACTTTTGCAGATGGTATGCCTTGGACCCACATCGACGACACAGGGTGTGTGTCTTATTTCGTCGCTTACCAAATGACGACGTACCCTTCGTCTGAAAAACATTTCAAGACATAGAAATAACACGTCCAAGTCACAAAATCAAAAGAACAAGCCTCAAAAAACCGAGCACAAACCGAGCCGAGTAAACACGTCAGAGGCACATTCAACTCTGAACCACAACTCAGTTTTAACTATGAGCACCCTCCATTTTCAGGACCCGTTGCCGCCATTCGTTACGTGTCCCCGCCCCTGTGCTGAAGAAACCACGGAGCCACGGCACGTTTACACCGGCCCTCCTCTCCCCACACGCATTACCCTAAAGCAGCAAACCACTCTCTCCCGACGGAAAGTGACTCGCTTCACACGCAGCAGCCGTACACTCACCGCTAGTGACCGAATCCCTCCTGATACGTTACCGCCCGGCTGCTCGGCCACAGCGGCAGCAGGTACGGAGCAGGAGACCACGGAGCGCCCGCGGCTCCACGCCGCACCACGGCCGCCCTGCCCGGCCCGGCGCGGCAGCCGCGCCCGCCGCCAGCCCCCGGCCAAAGCCCCGCCGCCTAGCCCGGCCGCGGCACGGCGCGGGGCCTCCCCCCGCGGCCCGGCCTGCCCCCGCGGCTCCCCGGCCTGGCGCGGCGGCGGATGGCGGCGGATGGCGGCGGATGGCCCGCGAGCGAGCCCAGCACTCACCATCTTCGCTGGCCGCCAGCACCAAAGAGGCCGCGCTCCGCCCCGCTTCCGCCACGGCCCCACGAGCGCTTCCGGCGCGGCGCTTGGGCGGGCCCGGGCCGGGCTCAGCGTCACGGGGCGGGCGCGGAGCCCGGTGGGCGGCAGCAGCGCCGCGGGCACAGCGCGGCGTAGGTGGTGCAGCTCTGCGGCAGCGCGCTCGGTGACAGGCGAGTGCCTCAGCGCCAAGTCGTGACCCTGCGCACACCGACAGTCGAAATTCCTTTTACAGAACCACAGAATCACCAATTCTTGAAGAGATCTACAAGACCATACAATGCACCGGTCCGCCCAGCGCTACCCCTCTAAGCCCCTAAATCACATCACTCAAGCCAGGCCCAGACGCCCTTTGAACGCTTCCAAGGAGAGCAATTCCACCACCTGTCGGGTAACCAATCCTTGGCCACCCGAGCAGCAACAAAATTTTTAACGTGAATCTCCCCTCTCTTAGTTGCACATCATTTTTTTGTTGTCCTCTCTGTAAGCACAGTAGAAGAGACCGGCCCCCACCCCACTTTGAGGTGGTTGTAACAGCAATAAGGTCTAATGTGTGAGTTTTAATGAGTGAAATTCAGGCACAGGGTTTAACTCCTGCCTGTAATACACAACTTTCAAGTAAGCTGCCTTGAACAGTGGGCCCTCCTGTACTTTATCCATGTCCTCCCCCAGATCCCTCCAGGAGATCAAAAGTGGAGTCTGCCTGGCATCTCCACGAGTCTGCCTGAGAGGAAAAGCATTGCAATCGACATCATGGGCCAAAAAAGAAAAGTGGTCACAGCACCGAGCCTGAGTACAAGAAACATTTAGACATATGGCATCAGGACAATGCTCTAGACACATCATGTGTTTCCTGAGGCTGTCTTGTGCAGGGCCAAGATTTGGTTGGTGATCCCTGGGGTCCCTTCCAACTCAGCATATTCTGTGATTCTCTGAAAATCTGCTATTTAAGTTCTCACGTCCCTGCCTACTATGCATCTTCAGTAGACTTACAATCTCTACACAAATTTTATCTTGAGAGAGTTAATTTCAGGGGAAATTGGAGTAATTTATGTATATCTTATTACCAGACCATTATCTATCAAACAGAGGCAGAAATTGATGCTATAGCCAGTTTATTTATCTTTGATTGTAGAATTGGGTAACTTGAAAAAAACATGTCTTTTTCTGGTAAGCTTGATCTTAATCCTTGTTTACTGGTTAAAAATGCAGCTTTTCCCAAGTACAGCTGTCTGGGCCCACCAGAAGCCAACAAACTGTGAGCAACCCTCCCACTATGAATGAGTTGAACCCCTGTGACATGGAGCTCATTGATCAGAAAAAGGGGTAGTCCCATGGCACAGTCTCCAAATTAGTGAAGCTGTGTCTGACCTGCTGCATTTTCACTCCTGGACAAATCATGTTCTTATGATTGTCTAAATATTAATTTATCCTCACTTGTTTTGGAGTGTAGCGTCTTGTTGAAATTCTTTTGGCGCTAATTTATATAATCAGAGGCCTTTGACCTCTGGTAATGTTGAGGAATGGGGGAAAAAGCCATCTTGACCCAAAAGGTGTGGCTTAGGCTATTCACTCAGTTCTCTCATTTTGGGGTGGCAATTTTCTCTTTCTGAAATACCAGAAATCTTTTCCTGTATTCATTTTACCTCACATGAAATCTAGACATTTACTCCATCCATGGTCCTGCAGTAGTTAAAAAGGAGATATTTGTTCCAAATGGTAAATCATCCCATCTTAAATTAGGTGTCTGAAGTAGGGTGATCGTTGGAAGGAAACCTTCTTCCATGAAGGGTTCATTCCTTCTTCTACCTAGAGAGACAGGAAGACCCCTTAAGCTGGGCACATAGGTAGCTGAATTTAGGTAAAACTAATTTTACCCTGAATTGACTCAACAAAGAGTCAATTTTATAGCAATTCTGTCTTCATTAACAGAAATCAAAAGAGAAATCACAGTGTTCTATGGATGAAATGCTCCAAACAAACCATTACATGGTATGAATACATCCTACAGGCTGAACTGGAGTCATATTTCTCCCAGCAACCTTGCTATGTGCCTTTTATCTAGTGCCTCCTTTGCTCTTTCTTTCTCACTAAATCTCAGAAATCTGGAAGATGGCATGGACGTTGGACGGGTGCCATGGCAACAGCCTCCAAAGGAATTCTGTTGTTTTGGCTGCCTGCAAGAATATGCAGGAATTATTTCTGTCCTTTGTGGGATAAAATAATCTTTTTCATTTACATGTCTTCAAACTTGTTCAGAAAGAAAGATTGTTGCTATCATCATGCATTTGTATTTAGTATTCGGGAATATTTTTAGGGTAGAGAATGGGCAGAGCTGTGGCTGACCCAGTACTGTTCCAGAAGGTCTTAGCCTGTGTGAAGCATACAGAGGAGAACAGAGTTCATTGCCTATTGCTCAGAACCCACAGGCTGCTGCTGAATGGCACCAGTCTAAATTCAGCACTAATTCACACTGCTTCTTTGTTGCATAGAAAGTAATCCAAAATTTAGAAGGGTGGCATGTATGAATTTCAGAACTGTCTTTTTGATGTAGGAAACCGGAGTCTGTCACTGCAGCTGTTATCCCCATCACAGCTTCCATACAACAATTTTGGTCCAGACAAGTTTGCTGATGGAAAAAATCCTTTGTTGTGCCTGAATACAGTGATCCTATTAATCTTCTAGGTTAGGGTTTATTGAGTACCATGTTCTGCACAATGTTCCACAGCCTGGCTGATCTGGTTGGAGTTAAAACACTGCAGTAAAAAAATAGATATGCCTTTAGAAATAAGCCTTAGAGTTAAGTCTAGTTCAAAAGACCAGAACCAGGACTACCTAGGCAAGAGAGGAAAGGGTATGTGAGCAGCAAATAACCCCAGTGGCATTTGTTTTCTTGGGTTTGATGTCATGCTACCACATCACACCATCACTGGGGTGCAGTACAGCCAGACACACCCTGTGTGTGACAAAAAACAGAGAAGTTGAACTGGTTTTACTGAACTTGAATTGCTGAAAGGACTAGTGTATGACAAATGAGCAACTGATATCCAAGCAAATCTGTCTAATGTCATCATATGGCATCGCTTGTTTGTGCACCCTTGGGTGCTTCTGTAGCATCCTTTACTCAAGCAGGGATGAGTTAAAGGGATGAGAATAGTGAAAATTCAACCTTTATATATAGATGTTTTGAAACTAGTCAGCACTAAATATTATCTTCAATTATCTTCAGTGGTGCAGACAAACTGAAGTCTTTATTTCTTAGTGTGCTCTCATAGATCAAAGGCATGCCTTTCGGTATCCTCCTGAATATCAAACACTTTAACAAAGGTAACAGCATTTCAGGAATCCTACAGGAAAACTGGGGAATTCAAGGGCAACATTTCATAAGGGTTGGTTTTGTTGCCTTTGGTGTCTTGTTATCATCCTGATTTGCAGAGGTAAATATCTCAGTTGGATTAGTGGGGGAGACACTGGTTATTTTTACCTAGCAAGCAGAAGCAGCATAGCTACATCTGTATAATATCCAGATTCTTCAGTTTGAAAACTTTTGTATGTGAGTTTGAACCAGAAGCATTGGTCACCACAAGATGACAGTAGAGTTCAAGTGAAACCTTTCTACTAAACAACTCAGTAAAAACTCTCAAACAGTAACAGTACGTTAGGTTAATAAATTGAAATATTAATGAATGCTATCTGTACAGTTCTTACATCTTTATGACAATAACAGAAAATTTTAGCAAACAGCAGTGTTTATGAATCAGCCTGTTGTATCCTGCTAAGAAGCTAATAAACATAATAGAAAAGTCTTTCTATTTGTTTAAGATGAAAATGAATACAAGAAAATGAAACAGCTGACATTAACTTCTGAAATTGCTTGTTAAAATATAGCGGAAGGGATGAAAAGATTTTAACGACTCAATATTTTTAAATTACATTTCTATGGCAGCCTTCCAGTACCTAAAGGATGCTTACAAGTAGGATTACAAGGGAGACATTTTACAAGGGCATGCAGGGGTAGGACACAGGGGGATGGCCTTAAGCTGAAGAAAGGCAGGTTAGGTTTAGGTATTAGTAAGAAATTATTTCCTATCAGGGCAGAGATGCACTGGGAGAGGTTGCCCAGAGAAGCTGTGTGTGTCCCATCCATGTAAGTGTTCAATACTAGGCTGGATGGAGTCGATCTAGTAGAACGTGTCCCTGACTGTGGCAGGGGTGGGTGGAACAAGATGATCTCTAAGGTCCCTTCCAGTGCAAATCATTCTGTTATTCTATTGCCACTCCTCAGCATCAGAGAGAGAGATTAGATAGTAGCCTTCAGATCACCTTGGGAATAGCAGTAATACTTGTGCATACTCCTGCATAGCAGAAGCATGACTATCATCACAAACATAGCAGGAAGAGCTCCCCGCCCATTTCCTCAGCTGCCTTTAACCTTTATCTTAGAGTAGTTGCAGGGGAGATCCTGGTTTCTTCCCCACTAGAAACCACAGTAGAAACTTTCCTGTGCCATCTGCCAGGGAACAGGGAGAGCATACCTCTTCTCAGCAGCGGTAGGGACAAGTCTGGGACATACCTGCTACACAGTGCAAAAGAATTCAGAAGATTCAGAATTTTAAATGACCCTATTTTCTTTTTGTTTTGTTTTTTTTTTTTTTTAATTTAGTTCTGATTTTGTTTAGTTTTGATTATTTTTTCTTTCTGTTTAATGCTTATGCTTAGATACAGTACAGAGTTGTAGGGCTTTGTTGCACCAAATTCTCAGAGGGGGTTTCACTGTTTGCAGAGGTGCTTGCATGGCAGTTTAGGCTGAGCACCAAACAGGGTGCATAAGACAAGTTCCTTTACAAGTTCCTTTACAAGGTAACAACTATTTACTTCTCAGTTCTATAACAACAAAATATTCTCGTTACCATTATTTTGATAAAAAACAACCTTTCTTGATCTTGTCTTATTTGACACTGTTGTCTTAAAATTTTGTTGCATTATTAATGCACAA